CCAGCAGTCCCTTTGATTTATCCTATGCTTTCCTTTCCTTACGATAAGAAGTAAGATTCACCAAATGCAATTCTGAATTGGATGTGGAATCATAAGCATCTTTTGAAAAAGCTAGGCAAAATATTAGTTATTTCAAGAATGGAGACATATGGGGGGGTCAAGTAGTCAAATATACACCTCAAAATCAGGCATTTCTAATGGGAAATAAGATTGGATTCCAGGGCTCTTTTTGCTGAAGCAAGGAACTGGGAGCGGGTGGTATTAGTAATCTCTGAAAAGCACGATATAAATAAAAGAATTTTCAAGGCACTATTTGAACCGACAGAATTGTTTCTATTGCTTTGAAATGGAGAGCCACTGGTACTCATGACTCTTCACTTCAAGCCCTGAAAACAACATAGTGCACTTTTTTATTTCTGATTAACTCACATCAAAATAACAGTGTTGAAATCTATCTCTGATAACATTATTCCTACCTTATACGCCTTTTAATGGGGCTGTGCTGGAGCCTACATAATATGGCTAGAGAGAAAAAAAAATTCAAAAGTCATGATTTCTCATGCAGAGTACTCCTGAAATTTCCAAAAAGCTAGTGAACAGGGAAAAAAAAGTAAGTTAATTCAATAAATGTTCAGTGGAATAGTGGAGGACATTAGGTTTGGAAGATATGTTCCACTTACATGAAGTTTTGTTCAGATTACATTTAGAATAAATTTGTTCAAATTTGAGCATTGAATATCAGTAAGAGTCCATTAACCTTTTAGGGGCATAACTTAGATTCATCAGAACTACACCTAAGCTGGAAGAATTAAAGTATGACAGGTTGCACAGAATATCCTCGTACTCCCATGAAGTAGCAGAATCAGATGCAACTGAACTGAGGTGTTTAAGTAGATTAATGGTGTTGACAGGATAGATAGGTTCCTTTTGATGCAGAGTCCAGAACTAGGGACATAACCTCACACTTGAAGCTGGGACTTTCAGGAAACACTTCATCAAGCAAAGGATTGTGAAATTCTGAAATACTCTTCTCCAAAAAGCTGTTGGGTCTTGGACAAATCGGTGACAGGCACAGCACTAAGTGAGAGTTAGGTCTGTGAGATGGACCTAACAGAATTGTCACAATAACTTCTCATGATCAAATCAAGAGCTGTGAATTTAATCAGGCCATCAAAGACATCCTGATTAGACAGGATTACCTCAGTGCACACAAAGCACAGCTGTAAGTAGAAAACTTTTCAAAAGTGCAATGTTTTGGATGAGATGTTAAATTTTTACTCCTAAGCGTCCTCTACTTGTTCACGCATCAAAATTTATGTCCCTAACAACTTGATAAACAGCCACTACTTCACTTACTTGAAATGTAGAATTTATTGCATGTATATTACAACTCCATTCTACAGTTACAATAATTCAGAAGCAGATTTGTGCTGAATACTGGCAAGCTCCAAATGTAACCATGGTAACAAGTGTCTCTCTTTCTTACGAATTTTCAGCTGCCCCCTGTTCTCCTGAAAGTAATAACTTCTTATGTTAATTTGCTTGTACTGGTCCCTCACCTTTTCAACTCTTACTCAGTCGCTATTATTTGAGTTTTGAGATCAGTAACCCACTTTGACATCCAAAAATCTCACAAATCATTCCTTTTGAATAGAACAGAATCAAAGAATGTTATTCTGCAGATGGAGGTCAATAGACTGCTATACACACGTTGACTCTTTGTAAGAACAATGTGGCAAGCCCCACTCCTATTTTCCCTCTTGGACTTGTGGGTTTTTTTTGCGTGTGACAGCTTCTTATCCAATTCCTTTCAAAAGCTATCCTTGAATCTGCATACACCATACTTTCTCTTCTTCACTGACATCAAGCCAACACCCCCTCACCCCACCCGGCCCCCAAAATCAATAATTTCACATCCGTTCTCTTGTTTTTGGCTCGGTTTTTATCCACAGGCCACTTTAACCTTTCATTATGTTCTTTCTTTGCATGAAGTGGCACTGTTTGTTCAGGACAGGTGAATGATTAAGAGACCAGTTTGCCCTATCAAATTGTTCAACCCACCAATATTCTTTATTATTACAATTTCAGTCATTCTACAAATTGAAAATTACTCCCACAACTCTCCTCCATCCATCCTCAATCCTGGTGTAGTAGGACAAATTGGGTAAGAACACAGGTTGCTAGCGATCACAATTTCATTCTGTCCTGGCAATTTAATCCATTCGCTCATTCACTGGGCTCCACAAAAAAAAAGCCGCATTTCATTCTCATTTTTCATACTCAAACAAAAAGGGAAAAACTCACATTCTTGAAAATGGAGAATAAATCAGCAGAAATTGCTGATAACGTGTAACTGTGTACAAACTGTAGGTCTGCCTGTGACAGTTTATCTGTGACAGGCAATGGAGTACAAGCATGTCTGCGGATATTGTAAAGGGGCGGGCACTGCAGTATTTAGTCTGCAGCAGCAATAGGGAGGATTTGTCCTGCTTGTGTGTGGAATACACACCATTTCATGTGACAAGTGAAGAGATACCTGCAAGACGATTATTTCATGAAATGACACTGAAACGATGCCGCCATTCTGTGCCAGCACAGCGAATAAAACATAATCGGTTTTGTCCCAAATAGATTCTAAAAATAAAGTACATTGCTGTAGTTCACGTTGCATTCCCTTTTATTAAATTGCTGTGTACCTGCAGAAAACTAATTACTAATGATATTTTATAGGGTCTTAACAACTTCAATAGAATGCACTTTCATCCACTTAGTTTCATCAGTACCAGTCTACTATTATCTTAATTGACTTAAGAATTCCTGAATGCTACCCATATTGAAGCATTTAATTTGAATATTCCTTTCAATGCTGTTAAAAGAATCAGTACCTTATTCTTGGAGACTTACAGACCATAACTATGTCTATCTGGCCTTTTCCGTATTAACCCTCAAGTCATCTATGTATAACAATCAGCTGTGAGATTCTTTCAAGAACAGAAAATTAATTAACTAGATTGTCCATTTTCAGTTTAATTGCCTAGTAGCATGGCCATTTGTCAACCATGACCCAGTTGGTCACACTCTCACAATCAAGTTCGATGGTCATAGATCCAGAGACTTGAGCATAGAAACCACATTGACACCCTTGATGCAGTGCTGAGGGAATGCTGCAATGTCAAAAGTACCAGATTTACAGATTAGACATTAAAATGGGAGATAAAGGATTTGAGAGCACCATTTGAAGACAGGGGCATTTCCTTGTTCATAGCCATTCCTTAACAGATATCACCAACACTGAAGATTTGTCTTTATCAAATTGTTGCTTGTAGGGGAATACTAGAGGCACTTGTGTAGCTTTCATACGTTACATCAATGGCAGCAATCCAAAATGTACTCTATTGGCTTGAAAGTGATTCAGGAGGGCCTGAGATACGAAAGGTACCATACAATTCATTTCTTTCCTTTAACCTAGTCTGTTTAGCCTCACTGGACAAAACTACAAGTGACTGATAATTAACATCATAGTCATTTTCTCCTTGTCTCCTCATTTGTTCAGACATGAATAGTCCTCGCTCATAAGAATAATTATTTTGTTCATTGTTGTTTCTTGCATTGAATCACAAATAAAAACTGCCAAAGACTAAAAGGTGTCTTAATAACCTGAAAGCTTTTAGCACATACATGGTAACTGAGCTCCTTGTAGAATTGCCATGCCTAACATATTCAGAACAGCAGTGAGCAGCTGGGAGTGAGTTACTGAACCAAAAAATTAGAATGTCTGCAACTTGCAAATAACATAAACGTTTTGCATCTGATCATCTCTGTTCTTCTGAACCTTTCTTCAAAACCATTCATCAATTACATTTGCCTACATAACATCAGTACTTCAAAAGTAATTCAAAGGTTGGGATGATGTGAGGATACAAAAATGCATTCTATAAATGCAAAGTTCAATCTTATAATTCCATTTTAATATCGCTGCATTAGTTCTCTCATTAAAAGAAGCTTTTGGTAAATCTTAATTAACCTGACTCAACTATTCATTTGTAAATGCTTAGTTGACCTTCAACTACAGGTAAGATGACTTTTATTTCCTAAGCCCTTATTAAAAGAAACCACTCTTTTAAACAAGATTTTAATGTTGTCACTCTCTTTGTACAGTCTGTCACTACAATACTCTCAATTTATTCCAGTATAGCAAACACAAGGTTTCAGACCTTTCCTATTAAAAGGAGACTTTGAATTTCCTATTAAAAGGAGACTTTGAAGTAGAGATACGATTTTCAAATTCGAGCCCAGAAGAAATAATTCTTGGACTTAGAACTTGTGTTCAGAACTGATGCATGATCCTACTGTTATTCATATTACATGCACCTTCTTCTGCTAAAGTTCAGCAGCATTCTCATCTTCTCAGGCAGCATTGTGGTGGGTTCAAGTCCCACATGAGAGACTTGAGAACAGAATCTTAGTTTTTGGGGCAGTGCTATCTTTCAGAAGAAGGTGACCCTGTCTGCTCTCATAGATGATGTAAAATAACTGGAGTACTATTCCAGAGAATTTCAGAAGAACACTCCTTGGTGTCCTGGTTAATATTTATACTCTAGTCATCAACACCATTAGCATCCTTCCTTTTACATAGACAATGAACATGCAGTAAATTACATGGATTGGGAATGGGTAGCTTCATGTGGTGTATTTCCACTGATAGCTGAAGAGACCATCAATCGCCAATGTTTGCATTGTGCATCCAGCAGCTGTGAGACAGACGATCTGGGCATTTTCATGATGTTACTTGTGGGAGCATTCTGTGTGCAAATTGGCTGCTACGTTTCTGATTTTAAAACAATGACTATATTTCAAAGCATATTTCATTTGCATATGAAGCACTTTGAGTTCCTGAGGTACTTCTACAATGTTACAAAATACATTATTTGAGAACTTTGGTAGTCCTGACTGATGTCTCAAAATGTTTTGGTGTAAATATTTGTCTCATGAAGTGAGGCAAAATGGATGGTATCAGATTTCTCTGGATGTAATACTCTGCAACTGTTGATTAATTCCAAAGGAACTGAATTTCTGGTCTATCATGAATGAGTGGACCATCGAATGCTGCCCCTTTGGTGCCAAAGTCGAGGCGAATTCCAAATCCTTCAAAAGTTTATTGGCATGAAATGGAGTTTTTAGCATCTACAAAATCTCTTTGTTATCAGAATGCGAATTAATAGCTGTAGACAGCTTTGGGACAATTAGATGTAACCTATATTTCACCTACCAATCTCAGCTAACTAGAAATACGGGGCATGATTTTCCTTGTCAGCTACTGAGCCCTGCTGTCAGGCTCAAATGGGAAAGTCCGCAATGTGCGGAAAACAGTAATTCAGTGGGTCATTTTATGCCTGCATTGGGGTTTCCACCTGCCAACTGAATAGTTAGTGAGAGAAGTTCATTGCCTCCAGTAATAATGGACCTCAAGAGGTCCTGGTCACCAGGAGCTGCTGGTCAATCAAAGGCATTTCAAGGGAAGCAGTGTTTGGTGCAGCATCTACTGGAAATGCAGGCTCAAGGAGTGACCCAGCCCAGAGGTAATCAATGGCGCATGGTGCAAGGTGTTTTGAAGGTGAGAGTCAAGAGGGTTGTGGGGTGGGCAGCATTAGGGGAGGGGGAGTGGCATGTCGGCTCACAGTAAAGCCCCCTTTTGCCTGATTCTGGGTCCCTCAATCAGGAACTGAATGCTTTTCAATGAGGGAGCCCACCTCTGGGAGGTCATAAGCAGCCCACGTGAGGTTTACTTGTCATGTATTTGTGGTGACAGGTCTACCTGCTGCTGGGGTGAATACCAGAGGTGACAGGATGACGCCCTTGGCTGGTCATAGTTAACTACTTTGAGGCCTTCAGTTGGCACTGGGGCTGGAATTCTGACTGTGGGCTTTCCTGCTCCAGACTTGATTTTTGGCAGAGGTGGGAAGGTGCTAGGTGACTAAATGCCTTCACTGCCTCCAAACTAGGCATCAGAGGGCTTCATATCCTAACTTCAATATGGACTCTCCCTTGAGTGGTGAATAGCTGACAATAGGCTTGTTGCCCAGGATGGTGTAAACTGCAAGATCAAACATGGATTTTCAGCTCGAAAGCATCAATCGATGCCACGGAAGGTGAGTAAGAAAGAGAATGTTTCAGAATATAGACACTCAATCTCTCTGACTTTTCCAAAGCATGAAGGTAAATTTGCTTTCACAGTGAGTCCTCAGAGATGGGGGGAGAGAGGGGGTGTAAGGTTGGAGTAAAAGTGGGAAGATCCGCTCTACAGCATTCGCGTAGAGGAGGGGATCTAAACCTGCCTGGATCCCTGTATCACCTTCCCCAATTCTATCACCAGACAATCAAAACTGTTCCCCACTGCCACCAGGATTCTACAGCCCAAGCGGAAAATCCCTATCTGCCTCCTTCCATTGCCTTATGTGGCCTTTAGTTAGATTGATCGACTGACTCCCTACACACATCCCTTAAGCATCTTCCCCCTGGGAAGAGGTGGCTTGAGACAGGGAGCGAGAACACTGGCTGATTGTGCTGGTCCTACCGTTCTCCCACCTTTGGTTTCTATGGGGAATAAAAGGCCTGCTCATGGTTTCACACTAAAAGGCCTGCCCTTGGGTTGCTTTGTTGGAAGAATACAATCCCAGACAGCTTCTAACAGTTGCAACACTAATTGCAATTAATATGACCTTAGTCTGAACCCCTCTTATTAGCCAGAAAAGTTTCCAGCTAAACAGAAAGAAATCAAGAATTCTCCTTGAATAATGATTCCCATTAGCATGGTATCCATCAACTGTCATGATAATTCCCTAAACTATTCCAGCTTCTTTTTTACTAAATATGAAAATAGCTAAGTTGTGATGAGAAACATTTTGTTCTATAAACTGGAACAGCGATAACACATAATGGCTCCAAAAACACCTGGTACATTATTTGAAGGATGAATTATTTTGAATGGAAACATTCACTTTTCGGGGTCAGTGTTTGTAGGTTTTAATGTTCACCTCCATCTTCTGGCAGAAAAAAATGCAGCATTAAATTATTTCAAAATAAGCCAGCAAGCTCTCTGAATGATGGAAAATTCAACAATCATGTCACCATCCCAGCATTCTCCAGTAATCCCATGCATTTTACAGATTGCTTCAGTTTATGGTCAGTGCAATTGTTCAGAGAAGAACAAGGCTCTGCAACTTCAAATGATAACTTTTGGCAGTATTAAAAGTGTGATCCTCTTGCCACATATTTTACATAAAGACAGGACTTTCTGAAGGTCTTCAAAATTCGTTTTATTTAACTGTTATATAAACAGATGAATCCCAGGAATGTTATTTCTAAATCATAATTTTGTCATTTTGTCATCCCCTACGCATCTTTGCCACCAACAATATTCTCATAAATCTGATAGGACAGGAGAGGTACAAGAGGGCATCATAACTTTGTCATTAGCTTTTGTGACAGTAGAGTAGAAACAGTCCTTTAATCATGTTGAGTGAAATGCCCACCTGTCTAATTTTCATTTTACTATGTCAATAATCAACTTTAAAGTCCTCAACGTGACAGCCAAGTGGAACACTTCTACACATTATTCAGTAAAAGCACTTGCTGCAGTGCTCCAGCAAAGCTCAGTGCAAGCTGGAAGAACAGCACCTCATTTCCCATTTGAGAACCCTGTAGCCTTCTGGACTCAGTATTGAGTTCAATAATTTTAGGGCCTGAGCACCTTCTCCCACGTCCTTACCCTAACCCACAAACAGCTGGCCTTATCGTCACATGGACTGCTACCACAAACCTCCCAATGTCAGTCACTAAAGGTCCCATTAGCAGCTATTCATTCTCCCAGGCTGACGTTTACCCATTCCTTTGTCTGCCCAGTTGTTTTGCTCCTACTCTGGACTCTATCTCCCATGTCGTTTACTCCTTTACCCTCCCATCGTTCCTTCTTTGGCATGTATACCAACGTTTTCCTAGCTACAATCAGTGCTGAGGAAGGCTCACTGGACGTGAAATGTTAACTCTGCTTTCTCTCCACAGATGCTGCCCGACCTGCTGAGTTTTTCCAGCAACTTCTGATTTTGTTACTCAATAAAAGCGCTTCTCTCAGATTAAAACCCAAGAATGGGAAGTCTATGGACATTCTCTGATCAAGACTTTAGCAGTGTAGGTTGGAATCACAACAGAAAACAAAATGCATACATACAAGCCCTTCATAGGAGCCACATAAATACATGTTGGAAATGCTCAGCAAGTCAGGCAGCATCTGTGGAGTCAGAAATTATCTCGAGTAAAAATGCGAGCCTAATGATGGCTGTGTGACTACTGCCAATTGTTGTAAAAACTCATCTGGTTTGCTAATGTCCTTTCGGGGAGGAAATTGCTATCGTTTCCTGGTCTGGCTTACATGTAACTCCAGATGCACAACAATGTGGTTTTAATTACTTCTGGCCAATTAGGAATGGGCAATAAATGTTGGCTTAGCCAGCAAATTCACATCATACAAACGAATTTTTAACAACTTTATATTTAAGATCAATGACCTTCGTTGGAATGTTTCTGTTTGGCAGCCTGAAAAGTCAACTGTTACTCTCTGCAGGTGCTGCCAGATCTGCTGAGTATTTGCATTACTTCTTGATTTCTTTCAAACTTCCAGTATCTGCAGTACTTTGCAGATTAGGATAGATGACCAGAAAGCTTGATCAGAGGTAAGTCTCAAAGTTTTGGCTCAAAGAATAAAGATACACATATATTAGGAAGGAAATTAATAGCTAAGGGCATAAGCAGCTAAAGGAATGGCTTACAATGGTATAGCAGTGAAAATCAGAGATGTGAAAAGGCTAGAATTAGGGAAGTACAGAAATCTCAGAGGGTTACCAGGTTGTTGGAGATTACGGTGACAATGTGAGAATGCAATAGCTCCAACAGACATCATCAACATGCCTCATTCAAACTTCATTTACATTTCCAAGCAGTAAACTGAAACAATATTTTATTCCATCGTAATTAAAAATATTTAATTTTATACACACACACACATTAGTTACTTTTCATCTTTATTGTTTTTGTAGGATAACAATGCTATTAAGGAAATCTATTGAGATACACATATGCTGTTAATCATTGCTGCAATCAAGGAGAAATGAAAGGACAAAAGTATTGCGTAAGTAGTCATTTTGGTGATCCTGTTTCTAGTTTGTCTCTAAAGTCAACCAAATTTGTTTGGTATATCAACAATCACAGTTAAACATGCACACACAAACACGCAGAAGTAGCAGCAGTAAAAAAAAACTGTAATTTCTTTTTCATTGATCTACTCACCACCCAGCCAATCAGCAAGAGTAGCTGTGTAACACCACCACTGACTGAAGTGGCCAAGTCGTAAAGGACATAGCTGGTAGACAGGAGCTGATGTAGGTAGAGAGGGAACTCACAAGGACAAAAAAATGCATTGATCTCATGCTCACCAATCTACCTGCAACAGATGAATCTGTCCAAGACACCATTGGCAGGAGGCACCACTGCACAGTCCTTGCGGAGACAAAGTTGCATACTCATATTAAGGATACTGTTCATTGTGTATGTGGCACTACCACCTCAAAAGTGAGCATCCCTGTGGTACTGCTGGTGATCAGCAATATTAGAATTGTATCCGACTGCAATCCGTAACCTCAAGGCTTCAACTTTACTATTCCGATCAAGCCAGGGAATCAACATTAGTTCAGTGGAGATTGCAGGTAGGCATGCCAGGAACTGCATCAGACATACCTAAAATCAAGGTGTCAACCTGGTGAAACTACAGGACAAGTTTACTTGCATGTCAAGCAGTGTGTCATGTGATAGACAGAACTAGATAAGTGCACAACCAAGATCTAAGATCTGCAGTTCTGCCACATCCAATTGTGAATGTTGGTCACCAATTAAACAAGTCACAAGAGGAGGCAGCTCCCCAAACAAAACACTCACTTTGGCACTCACTTTGGATACCAACATGGTCACTCAGCTGCAAGCTTG